CAGAGGTTGTTTGATCTGTGAGTTAGCTGTGCCCTGACTTTGATCAGCCCAGAGGTTGTTTGATCTGTGAGTTAGCTGTGCCCTGACTTTGATCAACCCAGAGGTTGTTTGATCTGTGAGTTAGCTGTGCCCCGACTTTGATCAGCCCAGAGAAGGTTGTTTCAGGGTGAAAATATTATGGTTCACTTGGCCCAAATTATACATACCTATGCCTGTACCCTGCGCTTGATTAGGTGGGGCTCCCTCAATGCACAGCCAATGAGCTTCAAGAAAGAAAAACACTTCTTACACCTTATCACTATGCACACTATGAAACCCTAGCTAGTAATTTTCAGTCTCTCTCTTTATAACCTAACACAGGCAACCCAAAACTGGTTAAAACTATCAACTAAAATTAATGAAATCCCATGTTACATATCATTGAATGTGACAAATAATACTAACAGTGGAGAGGAAGGAATCTAACATCAATCTGTTTCCACTTCCCCCAAAGATTCTGATTTTCCTCAATACAAACTCTGTAATTTTGTTCTTTCTCTGAACCCCCCACCCCTCAGAAATTCCAAATTCCACCATGGGGTAGGGGGTATGGATAATTTCTAGTACTACTCATTTTTTACATGTTTGATAATTCACCAAAGGCAGGTAAATTACAAAAGAAATCTAGGTTCGTTACAAGATAAATAACCCACGATCTTTAACGATGGTTTCAATAGCTGTCTGACATTCAGGCTTCAGCAGTTTGTGAACACGATAGTTAAGACCAGTGTGAAAGTGCAATGACTGGATTGATACATTAGGCAAAAGCCCCACCAACACAACTTATTTGCATATTAACTATAAGCACTGGGAAATGTCGCATCTTTTTACGTACTTCTACGAATCCCAACCAACCACAGTTTTGTAGGAGAAAAATACGTAATTGATACATTAGGCAAAAGTCCCCCAACACAACTTATTTGCATATTAACTATAAGTACGGGGAAATGTCGCATCTTTTTACGTACTTCTACTAATCCCAACCAAACGCAGTTTTGTAGG